CTCTAGGGTTCTGCTCTGCCCTGCACACTGCTGCTGGAGTGTAGGGAAGACACTGACCTGATGAGGTTGCTCAGAGCCCCGCGTAGATGAGACAGAAATCATTTCCCCAGCTTTTGCTCTGTACTCTTTCTGCCTCAGACCTCTGCTCACGTTACTATCCTGCCTCAAACCACTTCACATCTCTCTCCAAAAACAGTTTCAAGCTTATTTTTGAGGATTTTTCACATATTTCCCAAACACAATCTCTTTCCCAGAGCTTTCTAATGTGCACATAAAAAACAGTCCTTCTCTGGACTTCCCACAGAAGTATTTTCATGTTCTACCTCTTAATATAGTCAAGCACTCAATAAATAGGTTTATTTTTATTTATTTGTTTAACACTGAGGCTTGAACCCAGGGCTTTTGCACCGAGCTACATCCCAAGGCCTTTTTTTTATTTTGACACAAGGTCTTGGCTACTCACTAAGTAGTCCAAGCTGGGCTCAAACTCAAGACCCTCCTGCCTCAGCCTCCAAGAATGCTGGTACTATGTGCCAGCTGGTACTATGTGCTGTCACACCTGGCCTTTTTTTTCTTTTAGAAACTTCTAAATTTTTTTGCAGTGATGGCAGTCCAATCTAGGGCTATATGCATGTTAGTTAAGTGCTTTACCACTGAGCTGCACAATTAGCTTCAGTGAATATGTTTTTTTTTTTTTTAAAATTAACTGTAACAGCTTTTGTTATAACTAGAACACATCCTCCCACCCTTCCTATCAGAGCTTGATGTCTCTGTATACCTCAGTTGGGTAAATCAGAAAGCGTAAATAATAAATGTATAGTGAATTGAGTAATAAGACACTCAGTAACACTTATTGAATGAATAAATGCACTGAAATGAGATATCTAACTGGCAATAGCAGTTTAAATAGTTTCTATATCACTTCCTGTATTACATTTCTGTATTACTTAGTACAAGTGACCCAAACACCCAGTTTCATCTAGAGTGTGCAAGTCTGAGTCATACTAGGAAAGCCCAGGGTACAGGGTATACCAGGCACTCTGACTCAGATGCTGCCAGCCGCACTCCCCCTTCAGCTTTCTTCTCTGCCTCTCTCTGCAGGGGACCTTTATGCTTTCTAATTGGCCATATTCTTCCATATGCCAGCAAACACAGCCCCTGACACTTCCAGGGCCCCTCAACTCGCTGCATTCACTGCCAGAGCTGAGCTGTGCTCCCTCTTTGATGTTAAGCTCAAAAATCTAAGGAAAGGATGTGATTGGCTTGACATGAATCAGATGAGGGTGGGACCTCTAATGAAATGACAGTTCACCAAACAGAAAAAAAAAATGGATAGTTCCCATCTTAACAGTAAAGAGAAAGAGCATTTTAAAGAAGCCCTACTTATTTTCTGTTTTGTTTAGTCTTTAAATAAAATTTTAAAAAAAAAAAAGAAGAAGCCCTAGCCAAATATGGTGGCATATGCCTGTATCCCCAGCACTTGGGAGGCTGAGGCAGGAGGATCACAAGTTTGAGGCCAGCCTGAAATACACAGTGAATTCAAAACCAGTCTGAACTACATTGTGTAACCCTTTCTCAAAAAACAAAACAAGTCTTAGGCCTGGGCATCTGGAGGAGGCTGCCATTCTAGATAATGTGAAGCAGTAGATATTCAAATAGGGAGGTTGTTTCCAAGTTCAAAGAGCACAGTACCCAGTGTGTGTGTGTGTGGGGGGGGCCCTGAGGTGGAGCACTCCAAGGCACAGTGGGGCTGCTGTCTGCATTCTCTCCAGCTAGATGAGAACCGCCTGACTATGAATTTCCAAGAGACAGTGCCCTCCCTCTTGCCCCAGAGGGGCAACTCTGCTTTCCCACATCCAGGGGTTATTTTTATGGATAGATTTATTTTTACCCATTCTAGACCTCAAAACTGCTGCTGGAAGAAACAAGGCACAGAGGACACTAGGTTTCTGGAAAACACAGACTACCGTGGCTGGCTATAGTACCTCTGGGGGTCGCTTTGGGCCATGTCTCCCGTCCCTCTCTCCTGGCCACAGGGGCTGGGATGGGAGTGGACTCAGCAGGGGATTCTTTTTTTTTTTTTTTTTTTTTTTTTGGTCTTTTTCCTTCTTATCGGTACCAGGGATCGAACTCACGACTGCCTGCTTGCAAGGCAGGCGCTTATGCCGCAGAGCTAAACCTCCAGCCCCAACAGGGGATTCTTCAGTCTGTCCGCAACCAAGAGGGAGCACAGCTCTGAGACAAAGGGAGACTCGCAGCCACCCCAGAAATCATAATACTGCTGTGCTTCCAAAAGAATCCCAGCCAGCCAGAAGTGGGACCTCCCTTGGAGACTTTATCCAGAGCGCCACCCCTGCAGACCTGTACCCTCTTCCCCACCCTCCAGCCCAGGGAGTTTGAGGAGCAGCCCTTGCCTTTCAGATAATAGCCAGCTCCTAACACGCATTACTTCCCTATCTCGGGCCAGGCAGCCAAAACAGACTTCTCCTTTAATAGGATCACACATCTGTCTTATACTGCTATTCCTCCAAGATAAGTTCACTGAGCAGTTAGCCAATTCCTCCACACATAGCCCTGCAGACAAGTGTAAGATATACTTTATACATTTAAGGAGCCATTCAGAGACTGATTCTCATGATAAAGACGCAACTGACACTCATTTGGCATGAGAATGTCAAGTTGTTGCCATCCAGCAGAGAGCTGACAAGCCGTTAATCTAAAGCTCTGTCCAACTGTTTCCTCTCCTTTCCTTTCCCATGTCTCTCTCAACCATTGATTTGGGCTCCAAAGTTGACATTTTGGAGGATTTATCATAATTTAACAAAGCGCCATCTCCATCTCCCAATGAAATGCTGTGGGGAAGTAAGAGGGACCAGAGGAGCTGGGTGTGGGTGGCGCACACTTGTAATCACAGTACTCTGGAGGCTGAGGCAGGAGGATCCTTGTGAGTTCAAAACCAACCTGGGCTACATAGTGAGGTTAAGCCTGAACAGCAAGGTGAGACCCTATCACAAAAAAAAAAAAAAAAAAAAAAAAAAAAAAAAAGGGACCAGAGGAGTGGCAGTGGCAGGGATGGAGAGCAAATAAGCCTAAGTATCACTTTCTGTGTCTTCTAGGTACTTTGAGGGTGAGACTTCCAACTCCACAAAGAAAAGACTATATGGGAAAAATCTGTGAGTAGTTTCCATATAGGGTGACTGTAAAATCTCCCCTCATTCCTTCAACCTGCCTTCAGCTGGGCTGAGCTGGGGACAAGAGGCAGTCACACAGGCTGAGACATGAGTGTGGGAGCTTGTTTTGGACTCAGCTCTGAAGACAGACGGTTCGGTTAAGCCAATCTCCAATGCCACAAGAGGAACTCTTAGTGTAAGAGCCCAAATAGCCCAAAAGAATTTCTTTTCTTTCCTTTCTTTCTTTCTTTCTTTCTTTTTTTTTTTTTTTTTTGGTCTTTTTGAGACAAGGTCTCACTATGCAGTTCAGGCTGGCCTTGAGTTCACTTTGTAGCCCAAGCTGGTCTTGAACTTGCAATGATTTCCTTTGCCTCAGCCTCCTAAGTGCTGGGTTTATAGGTGTGTGCCACCATGCCCAGCTCAAAAGGATTTCTTTACTTTCGTCTGTTTAACTTTCCCTAGCTCAAAAATAGGACATGGATTGAATTACTGAGAAACAGTAGAGTGGGAAAATGAAGAGGAAAGAAAGCTCACAAATGACAGGAACTTGAGGAGGTTCCTGGGCTTCATTCACATTTTGTTTCTCTCCCATGCACACCCGGCTTTGCATCCGGGGCCAGAAGGCAGAAAAAAGGACATGGGAGGAGGGATTGTGGTAGGATTCTTTGACCATAAGGTCAAAGAAGCCTTTTTACAAAGCCCTGTTAGAAACATTGGGAAGTTGTGGCAATCACTTTCCTCACAACATGGTTTACAACTACAACTTGTGGGATTACGTTAGCCTGCCTTCCCTAAGTGTATAAATAGGAGTGAGTGTGTTTGCTGAGGTAGGTGTGGGAAAGTATCAGTCAATGAAGATCTGTTGTGTGTGCCAGCTGATGGTGCATGTTTGTACTTGAAAGCCATAAGGTTCTATGCAAAATCTATGGGTGGCACTGTTGCACAATGCTCTAGTGGGTGTGGAGGTGCGGGGGTGTGATTAACAGTTTATAGGCTGTGTACAATTGTGCATCCATGTCTGAATGCATACACATTAAAATGGAAAGCTGTGCCACAGTGTCATATGGGGCAGAAAAGTCCCTGGGCTTTGGAGTCAGTCTGACCTGGCCTTGAATCCTGGCTCAGTCATTCACCACAGGTGTAACCTTTGGTGAGACACTCAACCCTCAGTTTCCTCAACTATGAAATGAGGGTCACAGTGCCAACTTTTCCAGACTGCCCTGAGGATTAGAAAGGACACTGGGGATGCAAAGGTTTTCTTGATAGCCCTGGCCCCAGCAGTCATTCCATGCACTGTGGATATGCTCTGGGGATCCAGGGACAGGAGGAAGCAAAATGTGACTTGTGTTTGAAATGCAGGAGAGGAGGCTTAGGTGTACCAACCTCCAAGGTGATCAGGTCTTCCAAAAGCCTCAGGCTGAGACCCAGAGCGGGATGGGGGTGGGGTGGTGGCGCAGGGTAGTACGTGGTCCACAGACATCTTGAGTTTCTGGGTCCAGCCCTAAGAGGTTGAGAGGCCTGAAGATGCAGGAAGCCAACAGGCTGCAGGCGCTTCCTTTACTTCCGCGCAGTGCAACAACGGTTGAACACCGCCACCCACATCCACCCCCACCTCTCAGCACACGCCCCTTCTCTACTTTGTTTTCAAATGAGAGCAAGAGCGGGAGGAAACCCGAAAGTTCAGAGGATTCCTCATCTACCGTTCGCCATTCCCCCTTAAGACACACCAGGAAACAGCCGCAGCGCGGAGGAGCCAGGCCACCTTAACAGTAGAGTAATGGTCTGGCCCGGCGCCAAGCCCCACCCCCGCGCGGCCTGGCTCCTCCCCTTTTTCTCCTGCACCGCTGGGGAGAGCTGGGGAGCCCTAGCCTGGCCGGAGTTGGCTGGAGCTGTTGCCATGACAAGCATTTTCTTAAGGAAGCTCTGCTGTTGAGATCGTCCAGGGCTGGGGGTGGGGAAGGGGCGCGAACTTCCCGGGGAGCCATCCCCCTGGAGAGAGCGGGATCGGGGCCCCGGCCCAGCTCCCAGCGCCAGTTTCGGTCCGGGCACGTCGTGCTCATTGAAAGGGCCAGGAAGAGACCCGGCCCACGCCCCGCGGCGGCGGCACCGGCACCGCCGGCACCGGCGAGCTCGCCCGCCTGCAGCACTAGCCCGCGTGCCACTCCGAGGAGGCAGGGTGCTCGGCCCACCCGCCCGGTCCATGGACACCCGGAGGCGCAGTCCCGCCCGCGGAGACCCGGAGTTCTGCTAGACACACAGGTAGGCTTGCAGGGAGCGAGTCGACGCGCGGGGTGCAAACTTTGTTTCTTTTTTTCCTCTCCGTGCTTTCTAAAACTCCCCGAATTGCCCCTTCGCAGCGTTTTTCCCTGAGGCCGGGTTCGGAGGACCTCATGTATGTGTTTGTGTGTGCGCAGCTGTGTCGTATGCTATCTTTTTTTCCTATCGTCAGTCCTGAGGAGCCGCGTAATCAAACAAGTGATTGATATTCTTTTCCTTTCCTGGTTCTTGCCATTCCTGGCCCGGAGGGTGGTGCAGGGAAACGGAGGACTGTCCTTTCACACCCAAACTGAGCTATTGGAAAAAGCATTTATTCCCCCTCCCATCCGTTCCCGCCCTCCCCCCAGGCTTGGGAAAGAGATGCAGAATGGAAAACTGTTGCAGAAATATTTTCCGCGTCTGTTCCCTTTCTCGAAAGCCCGAGGAGAGAGAGAGGGAGGCAGAGAGAGAGATACCAAGTAAGAAATCTTGGACTGGAAGGAGGCTGCCGGGTCTGGGGAGGTGGGTGGGGGTCGGCTGGGAACCGTTCAGGGTGGGGATGGGAGGCACAAATTAAATTTCTCTGTCTTTGCAGAGAAACCTCAGCAGTTTCTCTCTTGCCGCTTGCAAAACATCCTCAGACTTTCTCGTCTATAATTAGCTGTGGAAAAAGCTGGGAGTTCCCTCGCACTGCTGTTGTCTGCGCGTGTGTGAGCGTCCAGAACCAACTGTGCGAGTGTCTCCGAGGGCACCGCCCCAGCCGCGCCGGTCCCTCAGGGGAGGAAGGAGAAGGGGCGAAGCTGAAAAGTTTTCAGATTCACGGCTTGAGGCTGTTGGGCCGGGGGCGGGCTCGCGCATCCTTGAGGAGGGGTCGCGGGGCGGCGTGGTGGGGAGCCGGAGATCCAGGCGGGGGTTGTCCTGCTGCCTCCCGCGCGCCCTCCCCGGCTCCCTATCACACTTGGCTCGCTCGCAGAGGCCGAGGCCGGCTGGCATCCTTCCCCAGGCGAGTCCAGCCTCCCGCTCTCCCACCTCGCCGAGGATGCCCGCCGCTCTTTTCCAGCCGGGGGCTCGGGCACTGGAGAGGCCAGCCTCTTCCTAGGAGAGGAGTGGGAGGCGCCTCCCTCTCAGGCGTTCCTGCCCGACTTACTGTAACTTGCAGACGTGATGCCGGCGCCTGCTGGCCTGCTGGAGGGAATGTCAGAGGGAGAAATCGGCGGGCACTCAGCGGCTGCTGCGAGGAGGGGAGGGAAGGACTCGCAGGGAGGGAGAACGAAATCTCATTCTGTCGCACCTCCCTCCTCCTCCTCCTCCTCCTCCTCCTCCTCCTCCTCCTCCTCCTCCTCCTCTTCTTTCGGGTGAGGTGCCTGGCTGCAGTTGCAGATCCTCCTCCCTGAGCCCCAGCCCCCACCAAGTACCCTTGCTCCTGTCTGTACCTATTAGGAGGTCCGTCCCGCAGCTCCCTGGATCACAGATCCTTCTAACTTGAAAGGATGGGGGAGACCAGGTCATTACAGACTGGGACTTGCTGTAGAGGGGGCCCCCGGGTGAGAATGGGTTGGGTGGAGAGGGGGGCAGAGGAGGCTACACTTGGGCTAGGTGGCTGGTGAACAGGGTTACCTGTGGCAGGTGACCAGGAAGATAAATCCTAGACCTGAAGCAGACAGATCTGTAGGAGTTAGGCTAATGAAGAGAAACCTGTGCCCAGCTAGTTTGCTAGTTTGGAGGAAGGGGAAGAGCTTGGCTGAAAACCTATAGAAGAGCTTAGACTTTGGGGAGAGCTTGCAAAGGTGCCTGGGAAGCAATACGAACCAGTGTTCATCTTGCAGTATGTAGTGATTGGCCTGACTGCACCCCCCCCCGCCCCCCCCGTCAGCTATATTCTGATCTGAAAGGGAATGTGACCTTTCCTAAAGTAGGTGAGGTTCCACAGACCAGAGTACCCTGGTTCTGTAGGGAGAAGGGGGAAATGCTTGTAAGAAGAATGAGGAAATGCTTTTCTTTGCTCCTTCTAGGGAGCCCTGGACACCATCTTGCAAGAGGTACAACCCTGAAATCTCACAGCTCCACCCTTTTACCTTTTATACTGTTCCCTTCTTGGGCACCCACAATCCCACCATTCCTGTAGTCAACCCTTCTGTGTCCAGGACCCTAAGGGTCCATTCTGAGGCCACTCTTCAGGGCCATGGGGAGAGGGGCACCTGTTCCAAGCCAGGAGCCCTGGACGGTGGGTGGCAGAAGAATCTGTTCCCTAAGGTACCAGCCCTATAGGGCAGGATGGATGTTGCAGCAAATTGGAGGCCCCTTCTGCTTGCCTGGGCTGTGCAGCCCCACCCACTGAGCCTCCTCCACTGCCCTGCTCCACCCTCTGTGCCCTGCCTTAGTCTGAGTACCTGGTGGAGAAAGCACTTAGCAGGCTGGAAAATCGAGGCTTCCTGCCTTGGCCTGGCGGAGCTGTAGTCTCTGTTCATTCCCTCTCCCACCTTCATATCCCTGGATCAAGGTCATACTGAAGGAGCGCAGGACTCCTGGCACCAAGCACGGAGGCCTTGGAGACACTTGGTCAGAGCATGTTGTAGAAGGACAGGGCAGTTTGGAGGAGCTGAGCTATCAACCTCACTCAGGGGGACATTTCTTAGCGTGTCACCTTTGTACAGTGGGAAACCTACTCAGATACTGCTGGGAGGGAGGGGCTGAGTCACATCTGTCAGATCACTGCAGTCTCTGATGTCAGATGAAAGTCAAAATGGGGGGGCCCAGGTAGAAGTGGAAGTAGAGCAGTTAACATTTGCCCAAAGTGTAGGTGCTAGAAAAAGTAAGGTGAGATGTGGGGTACGAAGGCAGCTGGGCAACGGTTTTGGGAACCTTACTCTCCCCACTCTGTCTTTCTGGAAAGTCCTGAGAAAAAGAGAACCAGGGTGTTCAGTGCATCTGTGCCCCAGCTGCCACCTGTTATCAACTCAGGCCTCCCTTCACCCCAAAACTATCCAAGTTAGCTGCTTCATGTAGCTACGCTCATGGACCTCTTGTCTCAGTGCTCTTGACCTTGACCTTGGACCCGGCAACTATGTTTAGGGTCAGCCTTGCTCATGCCTGGTAGAACATTCCAGTTCCAGCTAGCTTTGGAGATGGATAGGGAATCCCTGGGAAGTGGGGAAATCCCATTGGCTCCTTTCCCCCACGCTGCCTCCCAGGTGTGCTCTGCCTCCCAGGTGTGCGCTTCCAGAGGTAGGGGCCTCCCCACTCAGCTCCTGTTCCCCGTGGCTTTGCTTGAAGGGCCCAGCTTTTCTCCACTCAGTTCTCTATTTCTTTTTCAACACACGTTTTATATAAATATAAAGCATATTTTAAATTTCTACATATTTTTAAAATTGACACAAAAACACACGCAGGCACTTGTGTGTTTTGATGTATGTATAGGTTGTGCAGTGTTCAAATCAGGGTAAATATATCTGTCTCTCAAACGTATATCGTTTCTTTGAAGTGAAATCATTCAAAATCCTTTCTTCTACTTTTCTGAACTGTTCAGCCCATTACCTGTAGCAACCCTCCAGTCCCATCGCACAGTGGAATTTACTTCTCTTGTCTAATTACAGTGTAGTAACCCTCGATCCATCCTGCCTCATCCCTTCCACTCTCACCAACCTCTAGCCAGTAACCACTATTCTGCTCTCAACATCTGTGATTAACTTTCAGGTTCCATGTATGGGTGAGGTCCTGTGGTACTTGTCTTTCTGTGCCAGGCTTATCTCAATTAGCATAATAACCTCTGGTTCCTTCCCTGTGTCCCAGGTGACAGGATTTCTTTCTTGGGTCTGGCTGGCTAGTATTTCAGTGTATGTTTACACTGCATTATCTTCATGCATTCATCAATTGATGGATACTTAGGTGGTTCCTGTTCTCTCGGCTGCAATAAACGTGAAAATACACCTTAAGCTTACTGATTTTATATATATATATTTTTTTGAGATATGTAGTTCCAGCTAGCCTTGATCTCACTTTGTAGCTGGTCTCAAACTTGCAACAATCCTTCTGCCTCAGCCTCCTGAGTGCTGAGATTACAAGAGTGTGCCACCAAGTCTAGCTTCTTTGAATGTATACTCAGCAGAACTGCTGGATCGTTTTGTGTTTCTATTTGTGTGTGTGTGTGTGTGTGTGTGTGTGGTGTTGAGGATGGAACTTAGGGCCTCGTGCCTGCCAAGTAAGCACTCTACCACTGAGCTACACCCCCAGCCGTTTTTTTAAGTTTTGTTTTTTGAGGAACCTCCGCACAGCTTTCCAGGATGACTGTATCATTTCCCCTTTTCTGTGGGTCACAGGAATCCAGCAGTCTCTGGGGCTGGAGTCCAAGGCGCCCTGTGGAATGTTTTATACTCTGCTTCCTCTCCTTGCATCTCTTTGTCTCCTTTTTCCTCTTTTCCTTGTGTGAACCATTCCTGCTTGGCTGACTTATTTCCTCTACAGACGTTGACACAGAAACGAGGATCTGCTTCTGTCCCCATCTTAAGCAAGTGCTGCCTTCAGCCCAACCGAACTTGCGAACTTGCATTGTGGAGCGGAACCAGGCAGGACCTAGTTACAGCAGCCAGTGCAGAGGCTCCGTGGAGAGCGGTCTGTCTGAGCCAGGCTGGAGCGTGGAGGGGACAAAGGACAACCTGGCTTCAGAGGGTGGTATCACTCCTCTCTCCTGTCTCTCTGCCCCTCGCCACTCAGCTCTTCTGGTTTTCAGCCCCACCTTCTCTGGTGTGGCTTCCTCACCTTTCATACCCAATTCATGGAAGACCAATTAGAGTGGACTCACAGACCTCTTCCCCATTTCCCTCATGCTACCACTTAGGGTGAGGAGAGGGGTTTGGGTAGGAGTTTTTTTTTGTTTTTTTCCTCCTCTCTCTCTTAATTTACTTTTTGGGATAGGGTCTCACTATGTAGCCCAGCATGGCCTTGAATTTGGAATCCTTCTGCCTTAGCCTCCTGGATGCTAGGATTATAGCTGTATACACTGCACC